TAAGCAGACTAGCCTGTTTATGCAGAAAAGGGGCACGTTATTTATAGACAAAATTATCATTCATCTAAATATAAATTCAAAATGAATGAAAAAAAGGAGAAAAAAAGGAAAAGGAAAACATGATAAATACTAGATACTACCTCTTAGTAACTAGTATCTTATATAAATCAACAAAAGTCTTAGTATTTTTTACTCTTCACCATCATCTTTGAAAAGCTTCTAGTTTTTTCAATCATAGTAACTCATGTAAGAATTTACTATTTGTTAATAATAAAAACATATTTTTCTCGATAGCCATTATTTACTTTCTCATCTCACTACCAAATTTAATTTTCTTCCCTATGTAAGATTTATTTATAATTAAAAATATATATATGATGATCTTTTTAAATAAACTAATTTATTTGCATAGAAAATGGGCAATTTATTTACATAAAGATGTTATCATTCCATTAAATTTAAGTCCATAAGAGTGTAAAGAGTGTGAAAGAGAGAAAAATAAAAAATATGTTACAGTTGAGGATGTTATAGCACTATATTCTTAGGCAATTGGTAGCCATAGACTAATGGATAATGTTAAAAAGATAGGGTAGGAGGCATATATATTCCCATTTTATTAGATGTTCCAATGGCACTATATTCCTATTTTAATAAACTAATGGACAATTTTCAAAGAGAGGATAGGAGACTAATAGATACCTATTTATTTTAATTTTGATCACTAAGCTACTTTTTTTAGCTTCTATCACTGTTTACTTTGAATCTACGTTTTTATTATTGAATTCTTTGTTTATCAAGCTTCAATAATATCTCATTATACATTCTTTAATCTTGCAGCATCTTGCATCTTATAAAAAAAGTCTGTTTTGCAAAAATATTAGATACTACAAAAAAATTTAAATTGAAAATAGAACAAGTTGGCAGGGTCTATTCATTTTTTATTTTAAAGCACATGCAACAATTAAATTATGTAACTCCTTAAATCTAAATTGGTTATAAGAAATGAAACTATGTTTAACAACAACAACAACAACATCAAGCCTTTATCCCACTATGTGGGGTCGGCTAAATGAATCATTTTTATCCATTGTGTCCTGTTAAGAGTTAATTTCTCATTTAAATCTAATAAAGAATGGTCATTTCTAATATTTTATAACCAAGTTCTTGTAGGTCTACCTCTACCTTTATTAACATAAGTCAAATCCTAACCAGGTCATTGGAAGGCCGCCGTTTTATATGACCAAACCATCTAAGGAGACTCTCCATAATCTTATCTTTCATAGGAGCTACTCCAACCATTTTATGTATATGTTCATTTCGTATCCTTTCTCTAAGAGTAAAGCCACAAATTCACCTAAGCATCCTCATCTCTGCAACACTTAACTTAGTATGATGCTTCTCTTTTAATGGCCAACATTATGCACCATAAAGCATTGCAAGTCTCACCACCATCTTATAGAATCCTTCCTTCAGTTTGAGGGGAACTTTTCTATCACACAACAAGCCTAATGCATTCCACCACTTCAACCATCCAACCTAAATTCTACTAATAATATCCTCATCTATTTTACTATCACTCTGAACAATAAATCTAAGATATCTAAAACGTGTACTCTGATTAATGACTTGATCACCCAAAGTCACAATCCCCCCCCCACTAGATCTATTATTACTAAAATTACACTCCATATATTTGGTTTTAAATCTACTCAAACAAAAACCATTAGACTCTAAGGTTGAACTCCATAATTCAAGTTTACCTTCAACTCCCTCTCTAGTCTTATCAATAAGAAGAATATCATCAGCAAAAAGCATAAACCAAGGTACAACCTCTTGCAAATGTCTAGTGAGAACATCCATGACTAAAGCAAAAAGATATGGGCTTAAAACTGATCCTTGATGTAATCCAACTGAAATAGGTAAATATTTGGTTAAACCAGATCATGTTTGAACACAAGTGATAGCTCCTGCATACATATCCTTAATGAATTGAATATAAGCATTATTAACCCCTTTCTTCTATAGAACTCTCCATAGCACTTCTCTTAGAACTTTATCATATGCTTTCTCTAAATCAATAAATATCATATGAAGATCCTCCTTATTCTCTATATACTTCTCCCTCAAATCACTCAATAAATGTATAGCTTCCATAGTAGACCAACCCGGCATGAATCCAAATTGATTTTGAGAAACATTAGTATCCCATCGTAGCCTATGCTCCATAACTCTCTTCCATAGTTTTAAAGAATGACACATTAACTTAATTCCTCTATAATTCATGCAATCTTCTGCATCAACTTTATTTTTTTAAAATAGCAATCAACACACTCATTCTCTACTCATCTGGCATCATTTTAGTTTTCAAAATAATATTAAAAAGTTTAGTAAGACAATAAATTACATCATATCCTAAGCATTTCAACACATCTATTGGAATATCATCAGGTCCAACAGCTTTTCCATATTTCATTTTCTTTAAAACCTCTTTAACTTCAGTTTTACTAAAACACTGATAAAAAAAGGCATCGAAAATGATTATAGTTTGCAAATGATCAACTTGGAGCATGCAAGTCGATCCCAAAATTGACAACAATTTTAAAAGTTGTATGGTATTTGTGTTACAGTGAATGAATAATCTAGAACTTTGTAATACTGAACTGAAATTGGTTATTACAATAAAGATGAAAATTGAGATTATTTGATGATGTAATGTTCCTATTTTTGCATTTTAATTGATAAAAAAATATTTCATGATTGAAAAATCAAATATTGCAACTCTAAAAATGAATAATTTTTAAAGTAGTTTAATGCTCAGTAATCATGCAAAACATTGATATATGTAGTAATAACATTTAAAGAAAATCTTATGATCAACTACCTAAATAATATTATTTTCTCATCTCATTCAGCATACCTTGTTCAAAATATTATTATCTCATCTCATTCAAATTTACAAACTCCATTCAGCAAAACTAATGTCAATTTAAGACCTAGCCAACCATCTTTGTTAATTTGTTACCATATATGGATTACATTGCGGTACCTCACTTGCAAATAACATCCTAGTCAACCCTTGTCTACTTTTTCACACAATTGTGTTAAGTTGTGCACCTTATGAATAGAGTCCTAGCAAAACCTTGCCTACTCCTCACCACAATCCGGCTAAGTCAAGTTCATCGCTTTTTTGAACTCCCAAATAAATTCAAATTTGGATTCATTTCACCAATTTTAACATGATTTTATAATTGACTATCAATTAAACATCAAATATCAATCTCTTTCATCAAGACATAAGACCTATAATAGCCACTAAAATGGGCATGCTAACCAACAATTATATCTGCCTTAAAAGCTCCAAGTTTCAGAAGGACAGCATATGAAATTCCGATGAAAGAGTTTGGAAAGTGATAGAGAGATAATGAATACCAAAGATAACGAAAATCATTAAGGATCAACATAACTAAGACAAGCATATAGCAATTAATGGCACTGAAAAGAAGTATAGTAGGCACCATGAATGCACTAGATGATAGGAAGCCTATACTCTGAGGATCTTAATAGTGGTCATCAGCATGTCCTCTTATACATTGTGAAGAAGGCCTCATAAAACTTCCCTGGCTGGCAATGCAAAATCATAGTAGTGATACATCATATTCTTCAATCATAAATTTGTCACCTTATAATCCAAAGGCTCCAATATGGTTAAACACAGCTTCACAACAAAAGGTAAAGGCCCACAACCGAATGAGGGAGTTCGCTAGCATCATTAGAATATCTTCAAAGTTCATACAGAAAGCTCACATCAAAACAAACAACATCACTTAGATCATTAAGTTTGTTTTTTTATTTTTTCAAACAGACTTTTTTTACACATGGGTATGAAAATCATTGTTTGAATTTGTCTTAAGGGGTTTAACAAGCATTTCCTCAATGGGTAAGAGTCCATAAAACTGATACAAGCTTATAGCAGCAAACGCCACTGAGAAGTATAGTTGGCAGCATGAATGTAACAGAAGACAGGAAGTCTGTTCTAAGAAACATGATGATCCGATACACTCAAAAGAACTTCATTAAATCTTCCTTGCTGACAATTCAAGGTCACTGTATTTGCCATCATATTCTGTCACCATGCATTCCAAAGGCCACCTCAAATACTCTCAAGCATATAGCTCAGACAAAAAAGAGAAGTCCCAAACCCCATAGTGGGAAGCCCACAAGCCTTATTAGGAATTCTACAGAGTTTTGATAAAAGGCCAGCAATAGTCAATACAAGATACATCATTTATTTGATAAGATAATTTAGTTTTTTATGTGTGGATATATTCTTTACTCCCATATAATCCAACAACTTCATTATCATAAATAAATTTCAATAACATCAACTATCCCAGCATTCAGCCCCAGTATTATAACCTTATTAACAAACTGTCAAATAACCTTACATGTTTATAACCATTATCAATTCAATTAAGCTTTTCATGCAACCATAGACACCGATAATCATAACTTTGTGCAAATTTTCCAGAAAGTATCGCAAGAACATGAAAAAGGATTTACAAGATCTACAATAAAACATCAAGGTGAATGCAATTGAAGAACTCCTTGTGGCCATGAAAATGAGAGAGAACATAAAGTTTAAGAAATATTGCAGAAGAAAAAGATCGCCGAAATCCTATTAGCCATCCGAAATATGCAAAAAAGAAAGATGTTGTCCAATTTACTTCAATAATCAGAGAAAAATTAATAAATTAACTATCCAAATATCAAAATTCGCTGATTTTTTGCAGAAATGAAATCGATAACGTTACTGCACAGTTTGACACAAAACGACATCAGATAAAAGCCATATTAATACAATAACAGCAGGTCCTGGCCAGGTAGGTGACGATGATCTACCTGGTCGCGGTTGCAGATAAATCGCTATGGATGGCAATGAAAGTGATCAAATTAATTAAAAGAGAAAACGAAAGGATTTAAAAAAAATAAATAAATCGAACCTTTATCACCACATCCCCATCGTCTCCACCTAGCTCCTTATCACCCCTGGACGAGAACGAGTTCGTCGAGGCCATCGCGTGCCGGTAAGTGTCGTAAAGCTTTCAGTACGAAGGGGAGAAACCCAACCCAATCTAGGCGGAAGGAGGAGATCGAGGAGGCCAGGCCTAGGACTTCGATGCTTGGGAAGAAAGAAAAGAAAGGGGTCGTCGCATAGCTCCCGTGCGAGTTGGGTGGCTTTGCCCTATTTAATAGCTAGACGATATAATTTCTTCAGAGCTAAGGCATGCGATTGTAACATAATTAAAATATGAAAGCATTATTTTAAAGGGTATCTAATTGGGTTCGGATCTGATCCTAATTGATCTTATCTGAATTTATTAGACTCAAAATTAACATTTAAAATATTTAGACTTCATTTGTGATAAATTTTTTTATTATTTTTTAAAATAATTTTTAGTATAATTTTGTTTTAATTAAATTTAAAAATATTGGTTTAAAAAAATAATAAGAAAATTGTTCCAAATGAAGCTTTAATTTGAATTTGACTCATCTTAAGTCAATTAATTCGAATCCGGCTCATTTAATGTGTTTATTATATAAAACATTCATGTTTTTAATCAACATGTTTGTTCAACTTAAATATGACCGGTTTAAGCCTACCTGAATTAAAATTGACTTAATTTCAATTCAAAATTACATTTTCAGGTTTGCATAACCCCGATTCTAAAACAAGACAACATCACTAGTAAGCCCTCATTGGCCAACAGCTGCCTCACTTTTGCTGCTTGGCCACCATTGCTAGACTTTCCCTGGCCGACCATTATCATCCAACCTTCTTCTAGCCATCGTTGTCGGGCCTCTATCAGGTCTATATTATTAGGCATTCGTCGGCCGACCATTGTCATCGGACTCTGCTTGATTGTCATTATCAAAACTCTACTTGGGCACCACCATTGTCGTACCTTCATTGACCAACCAATGTCACTAGACTTTTGCTACCCGACTACTATGGCCAGATCTCCACCATTAAACTTTCATCTTTCGACCATCATCACCAAACTTTTGTCGCCCGGCCTTTGCCCTCAAATATTAGCCCAATCGCCATTATTGTACTTTCACCAACCATCCACAGTTATCAAACCTCCATCCTCCACAGATTATGGTTCTCATATCATAATCACATGACTATGATCTTCCGACCACTTTCGCTTAATTACAGGCCTTCCAACCTTGATCGCCTGTTGTTCGTTTTGGAAAAATATAGATATAAGCTCGAACCTTGTTCTGGTAAGCTTAAAGGTTCCTTATTTTTCTTGAGGTAGACTGGATTTAACATTTAACCATATTTTCTCTGATATTAGTGTTAGGTTTTATTTAGATATGAATTATACTTCCTATAAGTGCAAGTCCTCATAGCTAATATCCCTCCTAACGTATTAGAGGAGCACTCTCGATTAAGGATGAAATATATTTAATTTGTGCAAAGAGCATGGGAATGTGCAATAAAGTTTTAGCATTTTAATCTTAGTTATGGTGGGGATGAAGGTAAACTCGATCAAGATCCCATACTTTATTCATCCCGGGTATATCGTGAATTTCAGTCTACCAATACTAACAATCATTGATTGTAATATCGAGAGAATTTGATTAGCAGCCATAGGTTGCCTCCTTTTAGGGATCTCAAGTAAATGGAAGTCGAGAAATATGGATTTTATTTTAGCTTGATTTGAGTTGGGGCTTATGGCTATATTCAATAGTTGCCCGTGTGATTGGATTTTGGGTATGAACTTACGAGTTTCATTTGAAAGTAACCCTAGTAGTGGGTCTTACGACCTTTATTAAAGGTGGCCTAAATAGCTGGTCTTAAAACTTAGCCATATAGCCTAAGTTACCTGAAAGTTTTGGTTGGATATGTCTTATGACTTCCTTAGAAATTGCCTGATGCGGGTCTTATAGCCTAGCTTTGTAAGCTAAGGGGCACGTATGGTAGGTCTTACAACTTAGCCCTATAGACTAGGATGTCAATGGTGGGTCTTACAACTTCAAAAGTTGAACTTACGACTTCTATTAGAAGTTATCATATTTAGAGTTTTACACACTTATAGGTTTTGACACCAGTGTCAGCATTTTATTTGCAAGTTAGCCTTTAGTCGTTATTTTGACACATACTAGTCGATAGTTATTTTTTTACCTTAGCTTTCAGTAGTGTGCTTACTCTTTTGTGCTCTTAGCTTTTTCTACTGCAGTAGTTTGTTACTCTACTTTAGCATTATTATTTGTTCTTTACCTACTTTCAAGCACTGTTATGCCTGTAGTAACTAGCTTTACTCTTTTTAGCATTAATTTTATTTATAATGTGCTAACTTTTGTCTGCTTATTCGTAGGTGCTCGTAACCAACAATTTATAGAGCTTTCAGGTAGCTATAGTTGACAGTGGCGGATTTAGGGGGGGGGCGGCCTAGGGGGCACGTGCCCCCTAGGCCCGTTTGAGAGCTGATTTCAGTGTTTGAGTTTTTAAAGTAGTTTGTATTAGGTTGCATAGTAAAAAATAAGTTATTTGCTTCATTTTATTTTATTATTATTTTTGTGTGCATTAAATTATTTTAAAATTATTTAATTAATTTGATTTATTTATTAATTGGATTTAAATTTAAATTTCTTAATTAATTTCAATAAAAGTTTAATTGTTTAATATGTTAATATAAATCTTAAAATTTAAATGCATTTTATAATTATTAATTAAATAGATTTCCTCATTAAATTGATTCAAGTTTTAGATTAGTCATTTTAGTTAAATTTAATTTACTCGTTCAATTAGATATTTTAACTGTTTGAGTTGGTTAATAGTTTAAAATTATTTTTTTCTTAAATTAGATTAAAATACTTTATAATTGATTGATTTTTTTATGTTTAATTAAATAATCAAATTTTAATTTAAAATTAACTAATCATATGAATTTTGCATATTTACGTTTAAAGTTTCAACTTATCTGAACTTTATTTAAAAATTTGAATATATATTTTAAAATCATTTTGCAAGTTAATTAAAGGTTCATATTAAGGTTAACTTGATTTCTGATTTTTTAAATTTGTTTAATTTTGTTAAATTTAGCTGATTGGTTGATCAGTCAAGTATTTTATCAATTTACTATTTTTGGTTGGACAATTGATATATTCAATTAATTAAGGCTTGCATGCTTAATTTAGTAGAATAAAGGTTTTAGTTATTTAAATAATCGAGTGGCTAATTGATGTTCTATTATAATTTAGTTATTAAAGTGGTAAATTCAATGTCCCCGGTTTTCTAAAAAAAGAATTGTGTAAGTCATCTATTTTTATACAAATTTCAGCAACTTTCTGACGTTCCCTCCCCGCAAGGGGAGATTAGGAGAGGGCACTTGCCATTTTAACTTGACTCAGTCGGATCAAATCAATGGAGAGGATTTTGGGGGAGCGAATCAACCCGAAAATAATCTTCAAATATTCAATCCACTCGAACGGAACATATCATCGAGAGCTTCGGGGACTGAATCAACCCACTGATTGCGATGCTCAATTTAACGACTGCAGTGTCTGCCATTTTTTTAATTTTATTAATAATAGTAGCTATTACCTATTACAAATCATTATTAATACTAGTTATCGATAATAATAATAATTATTAATGATGGTAATAAAAAGAAATACAACAAAACCCTCTTTTCTTTTTTCTTTTTTTTTGGGAAAATTAGGGGCAAATATGCCCAATTTTCATTAAAGAAAAAATTAATACAAAAACAGAAGGTAGCAAGAAAACAAGAAAAACTTACCACCTAATGTAAAAGAAAAAAAGAATAAAACCTAACAACTCAACCTAAAATTCTGGCTTCAAAAAAAAATGAAGCAAGACAACCAAAAAAGCAGAAAAAATCTGCTAAAAAACAATAACTACACCTTCAAAAACAAAGAGTGAAAAGAAAAGACAAAACTAATCCAAAGGACTAGAAATACAATAAGAATCAATGACTTAGAATCAGTCACCAAATACAAAAAAAGACTTAAAAACAACAGCCAATAACAGTATCCTCTGAAAAAAACTCCAAAGAGCCAGACAACATACTCCAGCAACCAGTCCCAAGCCACCCTTCAGCAACCAGATCCTCAATTTTCCACCAGCTCCTTCACAGCTCCTAAAGTCCAATCAGCTCCTTCTCAGCTCCCTGAAATCTCACAAGAAATCAAGCTCCTTCACAGCTCCTAACGTCCCACCATCTCCTTCACAGCTCCCGAAAACCTCACAAGAAAAGCCCTGTCAAACATAAAACCAAGCAGCAGCCAATAGAAAAGAAAAGAAAAGAAACAAAAGAGCCAAAAAAAAAAACCTTAAAGACCAACTAGAAAAAACAGAAGCAAATTAAAAAACCAAGGCTTTATTAATGTCCATCCATATTTAAAATAAAAAATCGGTTGACATTAAAAGCACAAAAACAGATAAAGAGAGAACAGAAAAACAAATAAAAATTAGAAAACTCAAACAAAATAACACCAATCTAAACAACCAACTCCCTCTCCCAATCAAACAAAAATCCAAGCAGCAGCCAACAGAAAGAAAACAAAAAAACAAAAGCTAATAATGCCCATCCAAATAAAAATCGATTGACATTACTAGCAGCAAATAGAGAAAGAGTACAAAACACAAAACAAAACTAAATTAAATTTGCATTAGAAATCTCAGCAAAAGATTTCCAGACCAAAACTTTAGCAAAAATAGCTTTTCTAATAAAACTTTAGCAAAAATAGCTTTTCAAATACCTGAAAACCTCCTATTATTCCTTTCACGCCAAATGAAATAAATAGAGCAACAGGTGATCAAGTAATAAAATTTTTTAATATTACCAGAAACATTAAGATCAGCAATGAAATCAAAAACTTGTAAAAGATAAGGTTTAAGAAAAAAATGCTTAAGACTAGGAATTAAAGAAGAAATAATATAAAAAGAATAATTACAATCAAAATATAAATGATTATGAGATTCTAAATCGGAATTACACAGAACACAAACAGCTGAAATATAAACATTTCTATTCAAAAGAATATCTATTGTCTTAAGTCTATTTAAAACCGCCATCCAAGCATAACAAGAATACCTCAAAACATACCGTTTATGCCAAATATACTTATACCAATAAACTTTAACAGAATCCTGAAAGTAAGCCAAATAATAACTCTTAAATTTCGGAAAAAGCTCTCCATCCCATTTCAAACAAGACATTGAAGTGCTTTGAATATCAATAGAGATATTCAAGTATTGTAAATCAGCAGGAAGAAACCAGCTCCCATTTAAAATAACATCCTTCACATCAGATTTATGCCATTGAGTATTAATATTCGGAACTAACTCATGAATCGAAGAACCATCCAACCAAGGGTCCCAACATAAAGATAAATTACTATTCGTCGTGATAACAAAAGAAAGTTTATTTTTAATAGATGAAGCCTGCTTACACAACTCTTTCCAAAATTTAGATGCTTTAATAGTAGGCATTTTCCATAAAGAAGTATAATATTCTTTAATCCAAATAGACAAAAGGCTATTAGTATTTAAAATTCTCCAAATTAGAGAGCAGTTATAAGCAAAATACAAACCCTTAAGATCCAAGATATCCAAACCTCCAAAACATTTTGGCTTATACACATCTTTCCAAGCTATAATATGCATATTCTTAGAATGAATATTCCCATGAAAAAGAAACTTAGAACATCTTCCTGTAGCAAGAATTAGAAGGCAAGGATTTCTGTTTGAAAGATCCTGATGCCGAGTGGGTTGGAGGGAAGTTGATCAAGAACCTTAGGCCAGACGAACGGAAGCCTTAGGCAAAATCGGGCAGGAAATGCGTGGAGGGCTCGAGCTAAGGTTCCATTCATGTGAAGGAGACGCTCGCAGCCTGTACTACTGTGGGTGAGCGGTGGCTGTAGGTTGGGAGGCAGATTGGCTTCTCTTTGTGCGGGATTGGAAGACAGATCGGCGAGTGAAGGAATGCCTTGGAGGCAAGGCTTGGTTCTTTCGCTTGGAGGAAAGGGGCGGACGCCGAGTTCTGCAGGTGACGACCTAGTCGCAGTCTGATAGAGATCTTTGATATTTTTCTGTTTGGTTGCGGGTGAACAGTGGGACGTCAATATTGATGTTGCACTGTTCATCTTTGCAATTTTTCTGTCTCTACCGAACTTGCCAAAGATATGCGCGAAAGAAGATAATGACCATTACCTTCGCAAAAGGGGGCAAAATAGAGTTCGATTGGAGATGAATCACGGCATTTTTTAGTTTCACCACATTTTGGAGTGAAAATGAGATTTTCGGTTGGAGATGCCATAAAGCCCTCACTTTTTTTTTAAACTTGATGTATTGTTCTAAGAAATAATTATATTTATGATGATGAGTATTAATGTTAATATATCAAGATACCACCGCATTCTGTAGTCTATTAGTTCCCTTAGTGGCTCCCCCATTGACAATCATATCCTTTGCTTGCAAAAATCCACACTTAATCAGAAAAATTTTATTATTGCACTTCTCTTCATGTTGTACCAAACTCTGCATTCATACCCTTTTTCTTTGGCTCTGCATCTGAGAATGACATTGTATGATGCCTGGCCATTGCTCAACTTATAATAGTTTCTAATGGGAGTCATCCGAAAAAGCCAATGGTTCTGAAGTTTAGCACAAGATGATAATATCCTCCAAATATTTTTTTAAAAAAATTCAATATTGCATTCCATTGGCACATGTTCTTGGAGCTTGAATTCATCAGTTAGGTGCTTTTAATGACATGACTAATATAGCTACTCCAAACTTATCATGTGTATACTTATTTCACATTTTGTATTATATTTAAAGCCACTCATCCACCTAAGCGTCCTCGTCTCTATACCACTTAACTTAATTTTATGCTTTCCTTTTAATGGCCAACATTCTATGATATAAAGAAGGGATTTTTGCATACCTAAAACTTAAAAATAAGTCTATTTACATATCTAACACTCAAAATTTCCTATTTACCTATACACCACTTTAAAATCCTAACACTCCTCAAAACTACCATTCCGTTTCCGCTCCCGTCAAAACAAACCGCGAAAGTGTGCGGGAAGCCGGAAGTCGCGAGGGAGCTCACCACGAAGGTAATGCTATTTCTCCGCATTCGAGCGCTGCTTCGACTGCTTCGGCTTTACGAAATCCGGGATTAGGGAAAAATGTCGAAAACGCCGTGATGTGGAGCTTAGATTTACTGTGAGATTAACTCTGCGTTTTTTGACATTTGGCAGGATTTAGAACAAATTTTACATAAATCCGGCATAAATTCTGCATCCAAAACAGGCCCCGAAGCTGTCAACCTAGATTCATTTGGAACCGCTGCTTTCATTAACCATCGTCTTATCTAGCCGGCAACCATCCCTCACCTCTCTGGCAGCTATCTTTAACAACGCCTGTGACCATCCCTTGTTTCTCCTGAGCTATCTCTCATAGTCAGCGTGGCCACTGTCTCCAAGCAGGGAACCCCCTCATCTCGCAGGCACATTTCTCTTCCGTCGTGATATTTTAAGAAACAAGTATATTTCTGTCTTCTTGTTCAAAATTCTCTCATTTTTATATATCTGTGAATATAGATTTCAGAGCAATTCTTAATCTTTATTTTCTTTTAGAGGAAGAACACTCATTATTCTCATTCTTTTTGTATGAAGAAAAAAATAAGGATTAATCTTAACTAAATCTTAGGTCCATTTCATCGCCGATTGGAATATTTGGGGCTTTTAAATAGGTTTAATGAATATTACTGAAATAAATTTCATGGCAGGGTAGGGAGGTTGGCGACACAGGCGATCATTCTCATTAGGGATTTTCCTTCTCCAAATTTTGTTAACATTTTTTTGCTCTTTTTGAATTGCCATTGTTTGAGAAGGCGCGGAGGATGGAGGGTTCGACGCCATGGAGCGGAGAAGAGGAGCGACCTTGTCTGGGGAGAGGAGGTTATCGCCGAGTAGGCCAGACGCCGACAAGGGATCGAGGAGGAGGCGAAATTTCACGAGTAAAAGGTAGACTCGGGACGGAGTTCTGACCGAGTGGTATTTTTGATGAAACGGGGTGTATTTAGGTGGTAGGTATGTAAATAGTATACTTTGGGTGTTAGATAAGTAAATATAATAGTTTGAAGTGTTATGTATGTAAAAATCCCTATAAATAGTTATAAGTCTCACCACCATCTTATAAAATTTTCTTCAAAGTTTGAGGGGTACTTTCTATCACATAATAGACCCAATACATTCCTCCACTTTAACCATCCAACTTGAATTCTATTAATAATATCTCCATCTATTTCACCATCATTTTGAATAGTGGACCCGAGATATCTAAAATGTGTACTCTTTTTATTGACTTGATCACCCAATGTCACAATCCCACAACTAGATTTGTTACTACTAAAATTATACTCCATTTATTCGAGTTTAGATCTGCTCAAATGAAAACCTTTATATTTTAAGGTTGACCTCCATAATTCAAAATTTTCATCATGATATTATGAATAAGAAGAATATCATCAGTAAAAAGCATCACCAAGTTACATCTTCTTGTAAATATTTAGTAAGAACATCCATTACTAAAGCAAAAAGATATGAGCTTAAAGTTAATCCTTGAAGTAATCCAATTGAAATAATTAAATACTTGATCAAACCATCTTGTGTTTGAACACAAGCAACAGCTCTTGTATACATATCCTTAATGACTTGAATATAAATATTATTAATTCTTTTCTTTTTTAGAACTCTCCAGAGCACTTCTATTAGAACTTTATCATTTTTTCTAAATTAATAAAATATCATAGGTATAGATCCTCCTTACTCTCTCTATACTTCACCATCAAACCTCTCTACAAATGTATAATTTCTATAGTAGACTTGGCATAAATCTAAATTAATTTCATGAAACATTAGTATCACTTTGTAACATATGCTCAATTACTCTCTGTGGGAAGTAAATCCACCATGTAGATTCAGGGTGCTCTTATTTTTTGTGATCGAATACAATATTGAGATATTGACATAATATTCTATAATGAATTTAAAGATAGAAAAATGATTTTAAAAATTATTATTTTCATGATCATATATGATTAAAAGAATATCAGTGTCTTTAAAGATAGTCATGCCATTTTAGAATAGTATTTAAAGATGAAAATGGAGTTTAAAAAACTATCATTTTTGTAATCAAATACAACATATAGAATATCATATCACCTCGAAAAGAGAACACGGTATTCTACAAAGGCATATGAATACATAACTAGTTTTGAAAAATTATCATTTATGCAATCAAATGGAATATCATATCACCTTAAAAGGCGAACACAATATTCAATAAAGGGATATGAATACAAAATTATTATTTTTTTGAAAAATTATCTACATTCCCAGAGATCTTTCCCCTACCTTATGAAGATAAAATAGGATTTATTTTAATTTAGAGTTATAGAATTCCCATAAAGGCAATCCTTTTATGGTTAATTATATCCCGTGAGAGATGAATCTCCTATGAATACTCTTGATTAAAGTAATAGTAAATATTTTATTAGATTTTAAAGTTTAAGTCAAGGATGAGAAGTTTTAAATTTTCAAGTGGGATAGGTTCAATATTTAATAGCTCATCTTGGAGACCAAATGATAAAAAATAAGGAGCATTAAGATTCCGAGACTACTCAGAATTGCCCAGTCTATCTTATATTCAACTTTAATATTTAAAGGAGAAATTTAATATTTCAGTTGATATTTTATTAGATATTTAGGATATATTCTCGAAAGGTGAAGACATCTGATTTAAGATTTGCCTCAAAACCTAGATCTAAATTGGGCACTATAGAGTAGTAACTCAAACTTATCTAACGAAGTGTCATTCTAAACTTATATATTATATGGAGTAGAATGTCCGCTAAACCATGTAATAGCTTTAAAATTATATTGTCCAGTCAAATGGAAGATGGGCAATCTATTATTATTTTAGTTTTTTGAATATAAAGTTGAAATCTAAGAAAAATTCACAAGTGGGCTTAAATTTATGAAAGATAATTATGCATCTAGAAATAAAATGTAATTAAAATTTTAATTTTCATTTATTTATTTCTAATGAAATGCATATAAATTAACTCTTATACTATAATAAACATGTGAAGTATTAAAAAGGCTTAGAAAATATATTTTATCATAAGAAGTTGGCCTTTTTTTAGTTAGAACTACACACTCATAGGTCAGGTGGTCTGCTTCTACTTGTAGGTGGGGAGGTGCTTAAAAAGGAAAGAATGATGGATGTACTTTATGAGACCCCAAATGAGCTATGGCTTACTTTCAATTCAGTTTTAGTTATGAGTATACAAAATTTTTATTTCATAAAATCAAAATAAAATATTCAGGCACATGCACATATAAGAAAGAAACTTATAAAAAGTAAGTAATTTCTACTACACAATCAATGTAAACAAAGATTTAATAAACCATAAGCAAAGTATAGAGTCCAAAGTCCATGTGATAAATGTCACTTAATACAACTCAGGATCTATTGAAAAATAAAGGTGGTCAAGCTCCACCGATAGCAATCTAGATTCTACTCTTATGAAAGGACACAAGTTTTTAAAATAAGGCATTTTCAATCTTATCTTCTTTTCTTCTGGCTGCATATCTTCTCAAGTTCTTCTACGAGCTTTCTATTTGCTCCTCCAATAGGGCTTCTAAATGAAAAGAACTTTCCTTTAAAGGAAGTTATTTCCCCTTTAGAAGCCTAGCTCTTTTCTTGGAGAAAATGCCTTATTTTTAGAATTTCTTAACTCTTTTTTATCAAATTTCATTTAAAAATAAAAAAATAAAAATAAAAAATAATAAAAAAAAAGATTATATACTCGCTACATGTTAGAAAAATACTTTAGATATGAAATCGTCACAGATCATATCACATCATAAGCATTTATTTATTTTTTTATCAACTTGTAAGCTTGGCCATATTTTTAATAATTAAGGGGCTAAGTAACAAAACACCTGCAAAAAATTTGATTAGATTAAACTTTAACTAATATTTGCCCCCTTTTAATAATAACCCTATATAAACACAGCCACATGCAGAAAATTCTAATTTCTAATAATCATCTAGATCACTCCTAACC